CAGGTGGATGTGTCTCCAGCACTGGCTCTGGTTTGGCTCAACTAGGACTCGAGTTAAGCACGCTACACAAATATGCACAGGGGTGAGGGAGGCTATTTGAGTGTCAGTTAGTGTTTAATGAAAATGTTCTACTAAACATTTAAACAGTGATAACTGTGATTACATTGAAGTGGTGGAAAATTGATGTATCAGTTATTTAAAGTCTGGCTGAGAAAGAGAAATTGTACCTTGCTGCAGCCTTGGTTTTTGGCCTCTTCTAGCCTCATAGCCAGCAGTATAATATTTTGAAGATATCTTTTCTTCTCCTCTCCTCTGCTCTCCTCTCTTCTCTGCTCTTCCCCTCTCTTCTCTCCTCTCTTTTTCTCTCCCCCATCTTCCCTTCCCTCCCCCTCATCTTTTTCTTCTTACTTTATTTATTTTTTAGGGGGGGTACAGGGGATTGAACTCAGGTCCTTGTGCTTTCAAGGCAGCCCATCGAACCACTGAGCTAAACCCCTGGCTCCTCATCTTTTTCTTCTGTCTCCTTTTTCCTCTCTCTCTCCCTCCCCCACCCCTACCCTGCAACATCCGTGGCCACCATCCTATCCCAAGATTCTTAGTTACATCTTCATAGTCTCCTCTGCCATGCAAGGTAACATATTCAGCAGTTTCACTGCTTAGGGACATTGTGGACATCTTTGGAGGTGGGAATAATGGTAGAAAGAACTTTTATAAATAATCTAAAAACCTATAAAATGTTAGGAAAATTAAAATGACTTCTGCTGCCTCTACCAGCAATCTACTTTGTTTAGGTCAAAATTAACAGACACTAGGTCAAAATTAACAGACACTGGAGGCATTGACCATGAAATGGGACATCTGGCCTCATCCCTGACCTTGAACACCCCCCTTTCTGTTCACTAGATTAGATGGTTAGCTGAATTTTAAGGTATACTCCCTAACTACAAGGAATTACTACATCTGGGTTAAAAGTTAACTGTCTTGTGACTGTGATTTGTACATCAGTAATGTAAATTGAGGAGATGACATGAAAGCACCTGAATGAGATCAGGGCTGTAAAACCCTGTAAAAGAAGAAGCTGTAACCTAGTAGGGGGGTCAATCACTGGCACTGCTGTTAGTGCAATCAGCCTTTGGTTGGTAAAATAAATCTTTTATTGTTTACTTCCATTCTGCGTCTCTGTGCGTGTGTGTCACTTACCAGTTCCTTCTGCAACAGTAAAAGACATTATTCTTCCTACCAGAAAAGCATGCTAGACAGATGAGGTCCTTAGGGGGAAGATTCATACCTTCCTCATCTTTGCATTATCAGAACATAGCACAGTCATTGCCTGGCATCTAGAAGATACTCAGCAAATGTTTAATAATGGTTTTTGCAAGAAAATATTTATTTAGTATCTACTATGTAACAGATACTCTTCTAGATCATGGGGAATGCAGCAGTGAGGAAGAGTGTCCATGTTTTCAGAGACCTTGCATTCCTGTGTAGGGAAACAGAGAGTATGCACAAACGTGTGTGTGTGTTAGATGGTGGTAAAAGGCTATGCAGAAAAGTGAACCAGAGCAAGGACCACAGAGTGCCATTGAAGAAGTTGTCAAGGTGTCATGAAGAACTTGGGAATCAAGACTTAGACATACACAGGAGAACATTTCAGGAAGAATAAACAAGATACAAAAAGATTCTGAGGTTAGAACGTGCTTGGATTCGAGATTTTTTTTTTTTTTTTTTTTAT